GCTTTGTTGACTTTGGTATGTCTGTCCAGAAGATGGAGTTTGCTATAATCTTGACCAACTGCTTTCCAAGGAGGAGATTTAGTGCAATCTAAATCTAAATAGGCAGATAGCATATAGTTTGTACTCTACTAAGCAAATAATCTCTAAAATTGCTGGTACAAATTTTTGCAGCATCAAAATGATCTCAGACATTCTAAGTAATATTTTGATAATATTTATCAATAAACTATAGGAAAGCACAGGCCACCTGAAGAAGCAGAATATATAACCAACTTTTAGAAGATTCTTGTGTTATTTAGAAATTCCTCCTAAATATTAAGGGAAAAACAGAGGACAAACAAACACACACCACAGTTAGTATTTAAAATTGAAAAATACCTGTCCCTTCCATGCCCACCGATTCAGTCTTGCCTTCATTCCAAGGGAGCACACAAAGGATCTGCTTGCCCTGTGGTTTTCCTTATGTCCAGAGGAACTCACAGTGCACTCCTACCTGATCAGCCATCCAATTCAGGCCCAGTGAAAGTATGTATGCAGGACATGGTTCAGATTCCATGTTTGGACTCCTTCCCCTGGGCAAGATACCATTCCAGGCCACTGAAACCTTTCCCATTGGGTTTTTGAATCAAAAACCACCTCAACTCAGAGTACAGATATTACTAAAGTGGTGGACTGAACTCACCCTCCTGATGAGGGACATCCCCAGCCAAGAGCCCACTTGCATTCACATAACAGTCTGTGCATCTGGCAAACTGTATATGAGGAAGCCTCAAAGCAGCACAGGTAGCTTAGGGAAGTATCAATTGCCTGGAGCTTGGAGCCATCACAATGAACTGCATTTATCTAGAACAGGCCTTAAGAATTTATTCAGCTTTGAGAGGAAATGGACAGGAGATCCATAGAAGATGCCTTTCTTTTTCTAGACAAATTCAAAGAATTCCTCATTTTGAGTCATTTATCATAATTAGAAAGATGTCCAGGTTTCAGTTCTAGTTGTCTCTGAAAGCAGCAATGGTTTTATGAAGAAATACAAATAGAACCATTTTAAATAAATATTTTTATTTATGCAACCAATTTTAATTGACTTTATGCCCTCTTAAAAAGGAGTGGCTTAAAGTAGTCCACAAACTATAGAAGCAGACATATAAATAATAGTAATACCATTAAAACACCAGGATCAAACTAAAAGTAGATATTAATAGTGGCAGAAAAGATGCCATTATGTTTTCTATCCTGGCTGAAAAATGATACTTCGCATGATCCCAAAAGATTTGAATTCCTATCTCAAGGTGTATAAAATAAATCCTGCTCCCAATTCATAAACTAGTCCCCAACAATCATGCCTTTTGCTCATATAAACCTACCTGTTTGAAGTGAAACATTCAAGTGCTGTTCATTTAGCATTCCCTCATGTCCTCATAAAGATTCATTCATGGCTTTGTATAATACATTGCCTCAAAAGAGACTAAAATAAAGCATCTTTATAATCTACATTAAACAACTTTGTGTAATAAAAGTGGAAGATTATCTGTCTTAACTCTTTTGAAAGTGCTGAAAGTCTTCTATTTAGTACTTTATTTTGACTTGGAAGAACTGAGCAATAAGCGAGCCAAGCTAGTGCAGTTGTTTTCTCTTCAAGGCCAGCCAAAGACTGAATGAAGCACATGAAGAGATTGGCACAAAATGACTATTTGTAATTTGAGCTACAGTATAAAAGGGAATGGAAGATGGGAGGTGCAGTATCTATGCATTTGCAAATACGTCCTGACTCTGAGGACCTGTCATCTACACTCACTGCTCTTTGTATCAGCTGGGCTGGGTCTCTCTTCAACAACTTTTGGTCTCATTAGAGCTGTGCTGAGGAAGGTCAAGTCACCAGGCCATTTCTTAGAGGCCAGTTGTTTGTTTTTCTATCGTGAATGGCTCATTTCCATCACAGCTGGCCATGATAATACTCCATAATATTAAGAATTGATAGGGATCTTCCCTCTCCATCCTTTTTTCCTTTATTGCATCTATTTTTACATTGTAGACCTTAGGACAGCTACTGACTTACTCCTATTCATTTCTAAGCCATTCCAATAGCTTTACCAACCAGTGTATAAATGCTACCTATCTGTTGGTGTTGTAAAAAATGCTTTCTATATTAGGTGGCTTTTAGATATTCCTTATGTGATAAACTAGGCTCTAGTCTAGAAAAGTTATGCTGTAATAAATATGAGCATTTTGGATCCTGAGACTAGTTAAACTGCATGTTCACGGAAGGAAAGTTTTCTCCCCCAATATCTACCTGTTTCTGAGCTGGAGGAACTCCTGAACATGTGGAATCTGATACAGGGAGTTATTTAACTCCTGTCACTATATTAGGTTTGAACCCTTGAGCAGAAGTTTTTAGAGGGGCAGAGGTTAAAAAAAAGAGGGATAGGAAAACACTTAAAAGGAGGGAGGAAAAGGAGGCAAGGAAGAAGTTGAGAGCTCTTTTGAGTCAGACACATTGGCATGTTGTTTCCATCTTCAAGAATCAGTCTTGAAACCTGCTGGATTATACTGCAGAGAATTTAAGAGGGGTAGACATGTTAATCTGTTGGACAAAAACAACAAAAGTGTCGTGTTGCACATACACAGCAGATTGATGTGCGGGATGTCTGCCACTTTATAAGTATAACTCTATAAAAGGACTTCAAAATGTAGAGGACATGTTTCCAGGCACGATTAGAAAGATCTGATCCATCAAAAATTAGTATTGTTCAGAAAGACAGCCCTTGATAATCAGTGACTTAGAAGTTCTGCTGCAAACATAGCTGCAGCCATAATTAGCTGTGGTTATCCACTGCCACATCTTCAGTTCTCTCCATCTTCAGAAGCCATGTTCAGTGTCTGAATGCTAATGTGTTAGGCTGCAGACACAAAACCACTGGGAACTGCAAGGCTGCATCTCTGTCCTGCCCCCGTCACAGTCTCCTAGTATGTGAGTACCTAAGCTTTAATCATTCTATTCTGATGAAGAAAGAATCTAGTAATTCTGTAGGCCATTGACATGCATTCTTGGCATTTTTGCAGTCTGTTCCCATTGGTAACAAGACAGCCTTTGGCTGTTGGGCATTATAGAAATAAATATAAACAAACTACCTATAGTTGTTTAAGATGTAATGTTTATTTCAAGCTTAACAAGGCAGGTCTCTTCTTTGTAAGGTTTTCTCCAGTCTAGACCTAAACCTGATCATTCAGTGTGGCATACCACTAAGTAAATACACTTAGGACTACAACTTGAGTAGATTTATAATTATTTTTAACCACAATGCTCCTGCACTTTTCTAAAGCATGTCTCATAGTTTAACACATTGTCTAGCCTTTTTACATTACATGATCAGCTTTTTGACAGTGCAGGAGTGGACAGGCACAGCTAATGGAATAATAGCCTGCAGGTCTAGCTAAATGATATACGAATATAATCAACCTTTGTGATGACTATTCAAAAGTAATCCCTTTAGCTTTCAAGTAAAACATATATTTCAGCACAGCAAAGCTGTGTGAAGAAACTCTCTGCAGACTCCACTGATACAATATGGCCTTCATATCTCCACAGTGGGTTTGCCATTCATTGTGAAGTTTAAATTTAAGGTAATCGCTACTGTATATTCATGTAAGCCAAGAACAATACCTTTGATTTGTTGGAGAAATGTTATTCTAGCTACCAAGGGTCCAATTCTGTAAACTTGGCATAGTCCTTATATGCAATGTACCATGCACTTTTTTATAATGGAAAGTACTGGATAAAAATGATTTATGTAGCCAAATTTTACAAATTCATCAATGCTTATGTTCACAAAACTACCTTTGCTTCAAGGCTATTACTCCAAATAATAGTTAAATTCAACAGCAAGTAGTAAAGATTTTAAAACTTTCTGTTAATATTGGTTAGTAGCGGTATAAAAATATAAAATGATATTGAGCATTATTATAACAGATGCTGAGCATTATTTCCAGAAATTCTCATGCACCTGTCCCTTTGAAAGTATGGAAGCTATGCAAAAGCCCAGCTCTGTGAGGAGAATGTATAGGGCACAGGTAAATAACATGATGCCCATTGGTAGACACTTCTGTTGCTACTCACTGAGGCTCCCTACTCCTCCCACTTTTTAAAAAAAATTAACACATTTTATGACCAGTAGCTGCAATAGTTGTGAAATCGTATTTTGTTGGCGCTAGAAAATGCGGGTTCAAAGACATCAGTATTTTGGGTCTCAGACCCCATCTCTGTCTTATGCACAGTCTATGGGACAGGTCACTTGTCCTTTGCCACACCTGTCATGGCAGCTGCCCAGGACAGGCCTCAAATTGCCAAATGTGCCCAAGGGCCCAAAATGTTTCCAACGTGTTCTAGAGATATTGTGCCTCTTTTTAAGGATGGTCATGTTAACTTCTCTTTTGTGAAAGCAAAACAAAAACATGACCATTCATACTTTTAAATTAACTTCAAAAAGAATAGGGAAATGGGTATTGTTATTTGAACAAGGTACAGCATTTCATATAAACCCTGGATTTTCTATACATCACTATAGAAGTAGCATATATATGGTTTACACTTGTGCTTATTGAAGTATAACTCACATGTTGACAAATAATTTATAATACAGTGCAACAAATGAAATTTTGTAAGTCAGCATGAAAATCTAAGTCAAAGCAATGCCACCTAAGTTTTCTTTTAGGTGCTCTACCCAAATATTTAAAATATACCATAACAAGCACAGTAAGAATGCCATAATTAAAAACTGGGTTACATTTTTCAAAGTTCTTTGATCTGAGGATTTTATATTTGTCTAGCAAAAGAAATATTAGAACAGAAGACAAATTGGACAAAGAACAGGGAAAAGATTTATATATCCATTAAAGCAGCAGTTCAGTGTTCAGCCACTGCTACTCTTAAAATAATCACAATGATCATTCATTAATTATCTCCATCACTTCCTTGTTATTACTACTATTATGATCATTTACAGTGCCATCAGGGCAGCCAATTAGCAAGTCCTTGTCTGAAGAACCTAAAGTTTGAAACAGGAAAGGCCACAGAGAGAATGGAGAAAGATGGGGGCAGTATAAACATGTGAGACTAGGGAACTTCAGAGAACAACATGCCTTTTACACATGCTTGAATTTTATTTTGGTAGATTATGACCAGAGGGTTGTGCTAAAGGCTCATATCTCCCTCAGCCATGAAGCACACTGGATGTGTTTAGGGCAGTCATTATCTAACCTATTTCAGGTTTTGATGTTAAAATGAGAGGAGAAACACATAAGCTTTCTTGAAGAAATGTGGAAGAAAGCAAAATCCCATTGTAATTAGTAACAGTTTTTTTAAAAAGAAGTACTGTAATTGGAAGTAAGACACAGGATGGAGAACGCTAGAGAAGAGCCAGACTCCAGGGGTAAGCTGAGCTGAAAGCAAGGAAGCTATTGATGGACTAGGATGGGCTGAATTTGCTTTAGTGTGGCATCATGGCTTAAGCAGGAAAACATTCTAGACTAGGTTTAGATGGATGTGTTTTTCCATATTATTTTCTATATTATTTAACAGTTACCTGTTAAAAACTGCTTGAAACTTTCTCCACCCCCCTAGATGTATCATTATGGTTTAACTGCTGTTTCTCAAGGCCTTTAGTAAGATCTATTTTTATTGTTGGTTTAATCTTGGTTTGATGTTGTGTTTCTCATCCAACTGCTATGCTACCTAGGACAGTAAGTTGGTTGTGTCCATAAGCAGGTTACAAACATTAAAGGCAACTTGAGTGTAAGCAAAACAGCAATTAAGACTTAGTGGACATGGCGTGGAGCAGGTACGATTATGTTAGTTTGCCCACTCCCTTCCTTACAATGCAAGCCATCCCCATCTGTCACAAGGAACCATCACTGTGAAAGCAGTCATCTGTTTGACTTTAGTGTGAACTGCTTTAGGAAGGGTGATTGAAAAGCAACACCAGTATTTATAACATTGATACATTTGTTCTTGTTACATGCCTACTCTCACATTCAATCCAGTCATGACTACGGGTAGCATTATATGACCTTAGTAATTGAATTGTGCTGCCGAACCCTGGATGGCACAGCTAGGCCATGCTGGGGTTCTGTATAGCTCTGATTGGCCCATTTGGGGACAAAAGCCCTGGCTTGCCTATTTACAAAAATGCTTATATGACTTTTGGACTGCCAGAAATGTAGAGACTGGTGCAAATGTGCACTAGCCTTCTCTAGCAACTGAAAGAATAGCAGATTCTCAGCAAGCACATCACAGCCAACCAAACCTGCCCATTGCCCTGGCATAGGATTGTACTATTTGCACAACTGAAGGTGAAATTCTGGCTTCCCATTGAAGTCCGGGCCCAATTCAAGGTGTTGGTGATGGCCTATAAAGCCCTAAACGGCTTGGGTCCTGGTTACCTGAAGGAGCGCTTACGTCCATATATGCCTAGCCGCCCCTTGAGATCAGCAGGAGAGGCCCTCCTCCGGGAGCCCTCAGTGAAGGAAATTAGGAGGATGGCTACTCGGAGGAGGGCTTTCTCAGTGGTGGTGCCTAAGTTATGGAATGCGCTCCCCAGAGAGGTCCGCCTGGCGCTGTCGTTATTTGTTTTTCGGCGCCAGGCGAAGACCTTTTTATTTAAGCAGCATTTTAAATGTTAATATTATTGAATTTTATTCGGCCAGGGCGGCTTATTTTATTTTACTGTATATATTTTAATTGTTATTGTTTTAATGTATTTTGTACTTGATGTTGTAAGCCGCCCCGAGGCCTTGGCAAGGGGCGGCATAGAAATGTTTTAATAAATAAATAAATAAATAAATAAATAGATCCCTCTATTTCAGGAGACAGATCTGTACATTAATATAAATTCATTACGTAAATTACACCTCGTTGTAATCCCAATTATAACAATGCAAGCAAAATCTTATATTTGAAATATTATGTAGGGTGTTGCTATGTTACTTTATTCTAAGCCTTAAACCTTTAGCATAGATAAGTCATCTTTAACTTCAGCATTCTCTTACGTAACTGCTTTTGGGGTAAAGGGTCGTTAATTCCGACCTCAGCCAATTACATTTTGGGACAGTTTGACCCATCCATCATTTCCAAGTCTGCTGTATACTGCTGTGATTATAATGCTCATGTGAAGTTAATCTTGTAGAACATCTACACATTTTCAAATATGTTGATAAGACTTTGGAACCTGTTCATTCTAGAAAAATTGATTATATTTGCATATACACCTGTCTAGAGACACGTATTAACTGAATGAAGTTAATTGATTTGTAAAGAAATGCTACTGGTGTTTGTTTGTTTAGCTTTATGATCAAGGTACTGTTCAGAAGTATCAGTATGACTCCAGACAGGTTTAAATCAGTTTGATTCCCTTGAATTAGACTAACTGTGCAGTAAGATGATATGTACTTCCAAATAGATGGCACAATTGAAACATGCAGCACTACAGTCTTCTCTTTCTCCTCCTTCTTCTTCATGGATTTTCTGCAGTTAGGAAAAAGAATAGAAGTGTGCTGGGGGCATCTGGCTGGAACAGGTTTCTGGATGCTTCAGCAGCCAAAAGGCTTTCCTTGAAGTGGATAGTCTGGTCACAATGCAGCATGTGCCGAAAGTCGTTTTGGCCTGGGATCAGTGGAGGGCTGTGCTGCCCTCCAGTAAAGCTCCTTCTACCGTGCATTCCATGCCCAGAGCAAAAACAGATTGTGGCCTGTAGTTTGTGAAGCATCTCAAGTACTAATGTGTACATGTTTTTACAGATGCCAAGAAAGAAGAAAATGTGGTGGAGATACTTTGATCCACATCTCTTTCTGAAGAAACTGGTACATTACTTTACATTCCTTAAATGATATGATGAGCATACATTCTGCAACTTAGTGATGTTGGTGAAAATAGTTTAACTTGACCTTTAAGGCAACATGTTTTTAATATGCATCCCACCCTTCCAAATAGTTTTAATTCCAGATGAAGCTAGGAATGGAATTGTTTGTACTTTTTTAAAATCAACAGCTATTTCTCTGCTAACTGTATAACTTCATTTTGCTTTGTTTTCCATTCTCCAGAGTCAAGGGAAGCCTCTGAAGCTGATAGATGAGTTTGAGAAAATGCTTGTTAAAACAATCTTCAGAATGTTAATAAGGGAGCATGAGAAATATATGGCATACACATTTTAATGTGAGTTATCTTTCAAATCCACAATTGTCAATATAAAACAACAAATGGAAATAGGTCCAATTAGCCAGATAGGCACCCTATTCGGCAAGTTGAACAATAATTAAGTGCTAACTCTTCTCATTACCCTTCAGCATCTTAACAAGACTATTCCTTAAAAATTAGTTGTGTCCTTCATTGTCTCATCATAGAATATATTTGTCCAACAGGATACTGCAAAGAATATGAAATAGCTTCTCGTGTGCTGGGTAGCTTGCATTTTATGCATATATTTCTGCAGACTTGGGTACCAAATACCAAGTCACCCCAGAATAATGCAGTTGATACAGTGTTAGATCAAGTGTCATACTGCCGTGGGAACTTGCCATATGCTTCACTCATACCTTTGCTCTTTGCAGCTAGGCTGCATTGATACAGCAACCCTTCATAGCAATGCATATTAAACGGATGTGCCTTGAACATTTCACAATTTGAGGGAACAGAAAGACCTGATTGCAATTTTCGTTTCATTCATCAATTCCTAGCACTTGATAATGGCAGAACTGTTGCAGTCTTTGTGGCCATACTTCAGATATACAGGTACACTTGAATTCACTACATCTGCTGTCAGAAAAACCCACATGCATAAATCAGGATGGAAACTGCAAATCTTGCCTTGCTTTTCTTCCATAATTCATCTTATAATGGCATGACCACCATTGCCATTATAACTATACTATTAGACTTTGTACTCAACAGTTATCTGGCTCCTTATTCTGGATAGTGAATATTGTAATTGCCTCAATTCAACTTGTGTCAGATCAGTACAATGCTAAGTACTTAAAGTAAGAAACCATCAGTACTCCTGTCCCTGTATTTCCAAGCACCTGAATGTTGTAACAATAAATCCCTTAGCTCAGGATATGTATTCTGCTAAATAAAAATGAAGGGTTCTGTGCCAAGAATCCTCACTTCTGAAATCTTCATGAATTACTTTATTCTGAGGAATTTATTCTGGTTCTTAGCATTATGATGATCGACCATGGAGCTATATAGGGCACTATGGCCCTGCAATCTGGCCACTGGAAATTGTCACCCTTCATACTACATTCCGTGATATTTTATGTGCTTGTGCAGAATTGTAGAATGATTTGGTATCAGAATCAATCTTCATATTTGCTTATGGTAATGTTGGACTTGCTGCTCCACTTACGGTACTGACATGCCAAGTAATCACATTATTGGTCCTTTCCAAATAATGTTCATGTTTTCCCATCACTAGTGTGGCATGATTGTGCCATGGGGAAATAAAAATGGGTAAGGTAAGAAACAGCCTTTGGTTCTTTCAAAGATTCTGATAAACAGGTTCTTTTGTTTTTACCTTTTCCCAGGATCTATCCAGAAAGTGGTGCTGCCAGTGTATTCAAAATTTTACACTGCAATTGGTGGCAATGGTTGAAGAAATGCTTAAGGTGGTAACATCTAAGCAAAATAGGGCCGAGATTTATTACTTTAAAAATTCCCCCTGGCAGCATGCAATTCTTGGAGAACTCTGAGCTAACGCACACTAAATGCTCTGAGAGGGATGTAAATATTAAATACACTTGCTCATGCATATTTTTCAGTAATGTTAATATAAACTACACACTCCTATCAAGGGAAAATAGGCACCTTTCTGATTCCATATAAAGTTTAAGCATTTATATTTGAACTGCACAGATTTCCATAATAGCAGTAAATAGATCCCTAACAAAGACAAATACTTCCTGGTAATTGTGATGCTGGACTACTTTGTTATAACTCGGCAACCTTCCTGGGACAATTTAGCATAATAGAAACACAAGAATTGACTCCAAAGCATCCATCAGCAATAA